GTGTGTGTGTGTCTACGTTTGGGGCAACAACAAAGAGGGTGGGGGGAGCCAGCAAGAGGCAGAGAGAGAGAGAGAGAGAGAGAGAGAGAGAGAGAGAGCATGTTTTGCCTCGAAGGCAAGACTTGCAGCCAATCAGCGCGCAGGAGCCTCCCTCTGCGACTCCAACATTGAGTCTATAACCGGCTGGCCGGGCGGAGCTGGCAGCATTTGACTGTGGCTTGGGACGCGGAGAGAGGCGTGCGGCGACTGTCCGACGGCTGGCAATGGTCTAAGCTCCCCTCGGCACCCCTCCCCCAGACGCGGCCGGGCCCTCCCCTCGGCCTCTGGACACACACCCCGCCTGGGCTCCTGAGCCTCCACGGCGCTCCGGTCCACCCGCTCCGGCGATCCTCGGCCGAGGCCCGGGGAAGCTGCGGCGCCCGCCAGCATGAGCGGCTCCTTCGATCGCAAGCTCAGCAGCATCCTCACCGACATCTCCAGCTCGCTCAGCTGCCATGCCGGCTCCAAGGATTCGCCCACCCTGCCCGAGTCTTCGGTCACTGATCTAGGCTACTACAGCGCTCCCCAGCATGACTACTACTCCGGCCAGCCGTACGGCCAGACGGTGAACCCTTACACTTACCACCACCAGTTCAACCTCAATGGGCTGGCAGGCACCGGCGCCTACTCCCCCAAGTCGGAATATACCTACGGGGCCTCCTACAGGCAGTACGGAGCATACCGGGAGCAGCCGCTGCCTGCCCAGGACCCAGGTGAGGACCCCAGGGTCATGGAGAGGGCGCGAGGTACTGGAAGGTTCCCAAGCGAGAGAAAGCCGAAGAACGCGAGCTGAAATCCAGGGAAGCCCCGAGGATAGGAAATGCACACTCAGGAGTTAAAGGAGGTGGGCAGGATGACCTCCTGAGGGAACCGGCGACTGTCCGACCAGGCGCACGCTGTCGCCGGGGTCTCGAGTGAGGTTCGGGGCAGCGGGCAGCGCGCCCTGGTTGGCCAGGAAACCTCGAGTGGAGGCGATCCCGCGGGCGCTGCCGCGGGGCGGTCGCCTAGGGGTTGGGGAGGGGGTTCAGCGAAGGCTGGAAGTCCCAGGGGCCCTCCTTCCTTTGGTTAAGGGCTGGGGAGACCTGGGAGGAGTGAGGGGCACGTGGAGAAAGCCCACCGAAGTCACGGAAACCGAGAAAGCAGAGACATAAGTAGAAACGCTGGAAGACAGAAAGGTGGGAACAGCAAGAAAGAAATATAGAAGGGACAGCGAGGGAAATGACTCCAGAAAGGAAGAAAAGGGAGGGAGGGAGGGATGAAAGGAGAAAGAGAAGAAAAGGGGAAAAGATGGAAGGAAGGTGAGAGAAAGGGAAAAAAGAAAACAGGGAAAGGAAAAGAAAAAAGAAAAAGCTTGTACGATCTTGCAACTTTTCTGAAACTATCCTGAACTAGGAGGCTTATTAGAAGGCGGTGGGAGGACAGGAAAGATCGAAGAGGCCACCTCCAGCTAGGTGGGTCATCCGGGGCCGACCCACAGACGAGTGGCCGAACTCCGAGGCTGGAGAGCCCGTAAGGCGTAGTGAGCGAAGGCCGGGCGGTTGCTGGCGTCTGCGCCGCCGGGGCCGGGGCGCGGAGCTGGGGGAGTAGTGTCGTGGGCGGTCGCCTGGCCGGCTGGGTCGCTGCGGCTGCCTCCCCCAGCGCGGGCTGTGGGGAGCTCCTCTGGGAAGTCTCCGGGGCGATCAGAGGGCGGGAGGGAGCTGCATCGCTCAGCGAGGGGCGGGTAGATCTTGGAGGCTGAGGTTAAGCTACCCGGTGCTGGTGCATTCTCCCCCTGCAGTGTCGGTGAAAGAGGAGCCGGAAGCCGAGGTGCGCATGGTGAACGGCAAACCCAAGAAGGTCCGAAAGCCCCGAACGATCTACTCCAGCTACCAGCTGGCCGCTCTGCAGCGCCGCTTCCAGAAAGCTCAGTACTTGGCATTGCCAGAGCGCGCCGAGCTGGCTGCACAGCTGGGCCTCACACAGACACAGGTCAGTACTGAATGCTGGAGGGCCTCCTCGGGAGGCAGATGGGACCATAGGGGACCCGAGATTCCCTAGGGGCCGCTGAGCCTGGCTGGCCATTTGAGCATTACCCCTACCCCACTCTGAAGACTGCAAGAACCCTTTCTTGTGCGTTTATAAAAGTTAACGTTAGCACACGCAGAAGCGTGTGCATCGCACATCTTTGTGAACCTCGGTAACTGTCACAGATTCGCTCCCTTCCACCAAAGCCCAGAGCCCTCTGCAGTTACTTATAGAACATAGGAGTTCATGTTGTTTCTCTCCAGGGCTTAGTATGTGTATCTGTGTTTGCATGTAGAGTGTGTGTGTTTGTACACATGCCAGAAGATACTCACATAAGTGGGGTCCTCCAAGGGTTGTTTGGCAAATAGAGGGCAAGTATCTATGGTGGTGCACCAGTTAGCTCATACACAAAAATGAGTGCTTATATCAAAACACCATGGTCCTGCTTTGCACTCAAATACTCCTCCCCTGCCTCTGCCAAGAGTCAAGGAGAGAGGTTCCCAACCAAAAGTACATAGGTGTTGGCACTCCCACTCTCTGCCTGTCCCTGTAGCCCCAAGCACCTTGTCACTGCTCTGGGGAGGAATGCCAGGCGCCTGGCTCCCTACAGGTGTTGACAGGTGGGTCTTGGTTGTGGCTGAGCTGCGTGGGGCCTGGTCCATAGGGAATCTAGGTCACCTGGTGAGGAGCTGATTCATTGTTTGTACCAGTCATGGGGTGGGGAGCAGCAGGGGGAGGGGGAGGTATACCCTAAGGGAAATTTGGGGAATTGTAGCTCACCTGCTCCTGAGTCCCCAGGTCACCCCCAATGCCCAGCCGGAATACAAGAGCCCTTTGAGCCTGCCTGAATGTGAATGTAGGTGTTCATGTTGTGACTGCTTATCTGGGTGTATCTGCATGTATTATAGCTTTACAGTCTGGTGGCTGTGTGAGGTTGTGAGTGGGTATGTTGCCGAATATGGAGATGTGTGTGTGGGGGGGGTGTTTGTCTCTGTGTATCTGTGAACCTCTGCTTATGGGCCTCCAATGTGAACCAAATGCCACCAACTGTCCATACCCATTTGGCCTGCCTTTTACTGAGTGCTTGCTGTGTACCAGATCATTTTTCAATATTGTCCTAACTTACAAAAGTAGCAAACCAGACCAGACAATTGAATGTTACTTAGTCACAGTTCTACCCCTGCTTGAAAAAGTGATCTTGACCTGGGACTGGGTGCCTGGGTTCCCCCATGTGCTGTTGGTACTGCTCTTACCTTCTCCAGCCTGGGCCTCTGGTGGGGTTTTCCTTTGGTATCCTGGGAGGCTAATTGACTGCCCCTTTCTTCTGTCCAGGTGAAAATCTGGTTCCAGAACCGCCGCTCCAAGTTCAAGAAACTCTATAAGAACGGGGAGGTGCCACTGGAGCACAGTCCCAACAACAGTGATTCCATGGCCTGCAACTCACCGCCATCACCAGCCCTCTGGGACACATCCTCGCACTCCACTCCAGCCCCTACTCGCAACCAACTGCCCCCACCGCTCCCGTACAGTGCCTCCCCCAGCTACCTGGACGACCCCACCAACTCCTGGTACCACGCACAGAACCTCAGTGGACCCCACTTACAGCAGCAGCCACCTCAGCCAGCCACCCTGCACCATGCTTCCCCTGGGCCCCCGCCTAACACTGGGGCTGTGTACTGAGCACCCACCTGGCCTGCACCCCCCACGAAGGACCCCAGGACCAGGCAGAAGGTGCCCGTCCTAGCGACACTCAGGAAATCATCGAGGGGCACAGGGGAAAGGTCTCCTTTCCCCTTCCCTTGCCCCTTTCTCCAGGGACCCAAGAGCCTCCAGATGAAATATGCATGGACCAAGGATGCCCCAAACCTCCTTCCCCCTGCTTAGAATGGGGTGCACTCCAGATGATGAGGCATTCCACCCCAATGGGGACCACGCATGCTCTCTGTGCCAGGAGCCTGGATTGCCTTTAAATGGCTCATCACCTTCCAGCTTCTCCAGAACAGTAGAGACTTTGGGAATGGGGAAGACCTGGAGTGTTTGCAGGTCCTGCTTGGGCTGGAGTACCAGGCACCATGGATCCAAGTACCTGCCAGACCTGGTTCCCCTTAAGCCACCTGGGGCAACCCCCTCTTGAGCTGCTCTATTGCCAAAAAGACATTGGACACCACATCATGGCTGAGCCTCAAGGTGGGGGAGCGACCTAGCACCCACTCTCTTCCAACCTTCATTTTAGATTTGAGGGTAAAACCAAAGAAAACTCCCCCAAGCCAGGAAATCTTTTTAATATCCAACATTTTCGAGGGAAGAATTAAAGGAGCCATTTCTCTGTCCCCTTCTTGGGGAAAGAGCCTCCCATGTTTTTTCTAAGAACCCCTTTCTTCTTCCATGTAGAGGACTTTGCACAACTCTGGTTTTAAAAGCTGATGAAACATAGGACAACCAAGGGCATTGTTAACAGGACCAAATCTCCCCTTTCCTGGTGGGCAGCTCTGCTCTGCTCTGCCCTGCCCCCCACTTCACCTCTTTACCCCCCAGTAAGTTGGCAGTTTTGGGGCCAAACCCCAACTCTACAGATATAGACCAGCCAAGACAAACCCCCAAACACCTCCTTTCCAGCAGCTTTGGAAACAGATTGCTCCTACTCAGCTAGAGACAAGAGGAGGACTAGAACTCAGTGCCTTAGGGGTGAGGGCTGGCCGCCTGGAGGGCCAGTACCAGTGCTCCTCCCTGGCCCAGGCATCCTCCCAAAGTTAACTTTCTTCCACCCCTGATGTGGTAAAACATCGAAGAAAAGGAGAGGTAAAAGACTGTAGTTATATATATATAGTATGTATTTTTTTTTTTTTAAGAGTAACCAAGAGAAGCAGCCTCCTCCCTTGTGGCTTCCTATTTATGTGACCCTGTTCCTCCTGGACCGTTCTCCCTGTATGTTGCAAGCTGAGAGATGGATGTGGGCTCCGGCTGGATTTGGGTTTTGTGGGAGGTACAGGAGCAAGGAAAGATGTGGTGGGTCTCAAAGTCCCACCCCAGGGGGACAGGAATGAAGTGAGCCTTCCCAGCCTTCTCTTCTGCTTTCTTACTGGACCCGTCTTTATATATAATGTTAATAAAAAAAAAAAAAAAAAAGGAAGATAATAACCACTGTGCTCTTTGAACTGGAGGCTGGTGGCAGGCAGTTCTTAAGGGGAGGCCTGGAGTTGGGGATGGTGTTAAGTGGGGAAGGACCACTGAGTCTCTAGGGGCTTCTGGGAAAGATAAGACCAGAGTGGACCCCACTGTCAGGGTGCTGGGCTGCGAGGCAGGTGCTTCGACCTTGTGACTGCCCCATTGTGAGCAGGTCTGAGTGGGAGACTCCCAGCCTAGGCCCTTCTGGACTCTACTCTACTTGGTGGCTTGGCATTCTTTGTCAGCCAGCTGTCCTCTGCCACCACCACTGCTGCCAGGTCACCTCTGGGCTGTTCTTTGATCTTGAGCTCACACATAGATGTGTTTGTACATGTGTGTAAAAGCCCCTGCCTCCATGTCCAGCTGCTTCCAACCCCTCACCTTCCTGTCTGTACTTTCCAGCTTGGGTGAGGGTGGGACGGGCAGGTTTGAGGAGCACTAGAGTTCCCATAGCTGGTGGGACCTCAGGCTGGCCAAGGGAATAGAAGAGATAGGGGTGGGGGTCTGTGTTTGACCTCTTGGGAAAGGTGAGACCCTGACTCAGAATCTTCTAGATGCTGTCACTGACTACCTGGGGTGGAAATGCTGCCCTCTTCTTTCAGCCCCAAGGCTTGTGAGAGGAGAGCTGGAGAAAATGAACAAGTGTGTGTGTGTGTGTGTGTGTGTGTGTGTGTGTGTGTGCCAGATAGACACATGGTATACACACACACACACACACACACACACACATACACACACACCCTTGAGACAGGTGAGTATCACACAGATGTAACAAACCAAAGCCACAGCTCTTTAAGAGATCTAGGCCCCCAATATACAAGTGCACAAATACATTCATGTTCCCCCATCATCCACATGGATGGGCACAGAGGCAGTCTTACTAGAAAATCAGCAAAGCCAGTGACACCACCCAGCAGCCACAGTGACCCAGCTCAGCCTGGAGCTTCTCAGTCAAGTCTCAGTGTACTCATCTCTCAAATGGGGTTTCTGGGAAGCTATGAGGCTGAGGCAGTGTAAGGCTAAGTGGACAAAAGTGTGGACCCTGTGTTCCCAGAGCAGGCCATACAGAGGCCAGGTTCCCTAGAAGGATAAAACCTCAGCCCCTACCCTACTTCTCCAAGCTGTCCCCTCCCCCAACTCCTGCCCACAAGCTGGAGGGAGGTTCATGGGAGGAGGCCTCACCCACGTAACTTGCTTGGGCTGGCAAGGGTTAAGCTGGCAGCTGCCAGGCGGGGCTGAGCTGAGCTTTTGGTTTGAGGGCTGCGTGCAGGCAGGAGCAGCGAGGCGGCAGCCGGGCAGACTCGCTGGAGACACTGCATTTTATTAGGGCTGGGCTGCCAGCAAAGGGAGGGAGAGGAAAGAAAAGGGCAGAGAGAGGAAGCAAGGAGGGAGGCTGGGCAGGCAGGCGGGTGGTGACGGATGAAAGGATGTTGTAAGGGCCTAATTCCTCCCAACTCATCCCAGCTCTGTCAGGCTGGATTAACTGCCCAGGTGACCTCCTGCGGGGTCAGCCCCACCCCTGACCTCCCCTTCCTCCTCACCTCCAGGTCCACCTTCAAGCAGGTCAGCTTGTCCTTCACTGCTCTGATGCCCTGGTGAGGGGGCTATGGAGACAAGGGTTTGGGGGAGGTGATCTGGCAGCATGCCAGGACGGGGCTACAAAGAGCCCACCTTCTGCCAGGTGCTGCCTGACTACACCATTGTCTCCTGACAATCCTCAGGGAAAGAGGGGACAGGCTAGGAAACCCCAATCTGCCCAGGGGTCACTGTCCTCCAAGTCTTATATAACAGGTGGCATTTAATAAACTACCTAGTGCCAGGCCATTTGCATGTGATCCTCATCACAGCTTGGCAGAATAGTGGGATAGTGCCCATTTTTCAGATGAGAAAATTGAGGCTCCAGCAGTGGCAGAGTTTATACTCAGCATACATGATGCCCTGGATTCAATACCTAGCACAAAAGAGAAGAGGAAGAGGAGGAAGAGAGGAAGTAAGAAGCTGGATGTGGTGGTGCAGGTTTGTAATCCCAGCACTTTGGAGGCTTCAACAGGAGGTTTGAGAATTTAATGCCAACTTGAGCTGCATAATGAATTCAAGGCTAGCCTGGGCTACATAGCGAGACTCTACATCACCAGAAAAAAGTAAAGAAAAAAAAGAAAGAAAAAATAAGGGAGAAAGAGAACTGGGCATGGTGGCACACACCTTTAATCCCAAAACTTGGGAGGCTGAGGCAGGCAAATCTCTGTGAGTTTGAGGCCAGCCTGGTCTACATAGAGAGTTCTAGGCCAGCCAAGGCTACAATGATACTCTGTTCCCCAAAAATACAGAAAGAGAGAAAGAAAGAGAGAGAGAGAGAGAGAGAGGCAGACTAAAACAAAAAAAAATTAAAAAAAGAAGAGAAGAGGAGGAGGAGAGAAGTAGAGAGGAGAGGAAGAGAATACAGACTGAGGTTAAAGAATTTGAATCTACCAAGGTCACATAGCAAATCTGAGGCAATGCTGGGCTTTGAACCCAGGTCAGCAGGTCAGCACAGAGACCAAGTGCTCTGGATGGTCTCTGTTCTGTTCAGTATGAAGCACTAACAGATCAGAAAGCTGAAGCCACTGCAGCTCAAACCCACCTGGCCCACGTGGCCAATCCTGCTACAAGTTTCTTCCCTTGGAGGGGACTGAGATGGAAGGCCAGCCTTCTTCCTCTGGGCAAGTCCTAAGAAAAGCTTAACACTGTGGTCAGGAATGTGTACTCTGGTGCCTGTTGACTTGGATTTGGATCCTGACTCCATGATTTTCCTGTGTGTGTGGCCTTGGCCAAGTCACTTAACCTTTCTGAACTTCAGTCTTCTCTGTAATACAGGGATGATCCTACCAACTAACAGGCTGGAGAGAAGATTAACTGGGATAACCTGAGTAAAATGCTTAACAAGGTACCAGCACTTAGTAAGCCTGATTAGTGAATGGAAGAGGCTGCCAGCAATCTAACCCTCCACACTTCCCATTCAGTCCCAGACCTGGCCTCCTTGTGGCATTGGCTGACTAGTCATCTCTACATTTGTGACTCTGGCTGATGTACTACCTCTGAGTATGTTCAAATAGGAACAAGTCAGCCTACATTTACTGAGCATATCTATATGGCAGGCACAGACAGCCAGGGCCTACAGAAGGAGCACAGACCCTGAGCTAGTACCTGCCTAGCTAGCAGCAGGCTTAACATGAGGCCTGCTACTAGCCTGACAGTATTGGGAAAGCCAGTGCACAAGCTATTCGAGGAATGGCTGGGGAGCCTGGTGCAGGGGGAAAGGAGCCTTGGAAGGCTTCATTGGAGGGGAGGTGTTTGAACTATGTCTTGAATGATAGGAGCATGCCAGACAAAGACAGGAGCTTTATCAACACCTCTGTCCCCCACCCCCCGGGACCCCATCTGCAGTGCCTCTCACCCAGGGACCCCATGGGACAGAGAAATGAGGTTTGTGAGAGAGCCAGAAGGAAGCAGCCTAGAATGATGTCAGGCCAGAGCTGTGGAGAGGAGGACCAGACCCAGAAGCTCTCTAGATCCTTCCTGGATGCTGAACTTACTGATGGTGATGGTCTGACCATTCACAGACCCTTGGGAGCCCTGACACCTTGAGCTCAGAGAAGAAAGCTCCCTGACCCTCTTGGGGAAAGACATAGCTCTTGGGGAAGTCATTAACTCTGTCCCTGAGGGGGTCCTAGGTGCTAGGGGAATCTTCAAGACCCTACCCAACACCATTCCCAGGGCACATCCCCACACGCTACCATTTACTCCTCTCCCCTGAAGAGCAGCAACACAGACTTGGCATCATGTGAATGAAACTAGGGATTCTGGGCAGTCAGACAAGGACCCTGATACTCAGCTTTTAGGTGAAGGTTCTGGTTGGTCAAGTTGTATAGTTGCATCAACTAAGCCCAGAGGGGATCTGAGAGGAAGGGGGAGCACACTGGGAGTTGGGGGACAACCAGCAGCCAGCACCCTGGCCTCTGTTTTTCCAGCTTTAATTGCAGCGTTAATCACCTTAATAAGCTGTTTACCAGCACCCAGCAGCCTGAGACTGTGAGGCTTAGAAGCCAAAAAGTGCTTGGGGATGAGTTTCCTCAGCCCCAGAGAAGGGGGGCAGGAGGACAGCAAACATGGGGCTCTGGTAGATCAGTAAAAGGAGAAAGTGGGGGGCTGAGGGAGCCAGCTAGGGTCAAGAGGTCAGGAAAGGCTGATCCAGCTCTTCTAGGAAGCCCAGCACCTGCTCCCCAGAAAGTCTTCCCTGAACTCCAACCTCTGACCCTGGCCAGTCTTTTCTCTTCCCCTCTCAGACATGCCTATAACCAAGTCAGTGATTCTGTCCAGGCCTCCACTGCAAGTTCAGCTCAGGTAGAGCTCTCATGGTACCTCCAGGCCTTCCTCCCAATTTGTAGCACAGGCTCGGGTCTTGATGAGTATTTCTGTTCACCCTGGGGAGAGTTGCTGGGCTAGAAGGCAAGAGCCCTGGGGACACCCCTTATAGCAAGATCCTTGGGGACAGAGCTGGGGAAAGAGCTCAAGTGGAGCAAGAAGCAGAGTAGGGTCTTGGGCACCTCACCCCCACCACAGCAGGTGTCTTGCACAGCTGGAGCAGTAGGATGCTTTGTGAACATCAGAAGCATGGATGCATGCTGTACCGAAGACCTCCTGGGATTCTCACACAGCCCCTCTCTCAGCATTAGCTGAGGGGCTCCCAGGCTGGTGGGCAGTGAGGGCCAACTCTCTGCTAGGCTGTTGAGAGCTAAGGAGATGACATGAGGAAAGACCAGACCCTAGCCACTCCCCTATGTAACTGTAGGAGCCACTGTCCTCTGTGACTGCACCCTCAGTAGGCCCTACGTCCTCTAATCATCAGGAAGTTGGCCCAGAGAGACTTTGCTACTTGTG